GATTTTCAATCTGCCCAGATGATGGAATAATGTGATTTTCATTTTCAATCTTTCACCCAGATGATGGATAATGTGATGATTTTCAATCTGCCCAGATGATGGATAATGTGATGATTTTCAATGGATGGATAATGTGATGATTTTCAATCTGCCCAGATGATGATAATGTGATTTTCAATCTCCCCAGATGATGGGATAATGTGATGATTTTCAATCTGCCCAGATGATGGATAATGTGATGATTTTCAATCTGCCCAGATGATGGATGATTTTCAATCTGCCCAGATGATGGGATAATGTGATGATTTTCAATCTGCCCAGATGATGGAATAATGTGATGATTTTCAATCAGATGATAGGATAATGTGATGATTTTCAATCTGCCCAGATGATGTGATAATGTGATGATTTTCAATCTCCCCAGATGATGTGATAATGTGATGATTTTCACTCTCCCCAGATGATGTGATAATGTGATGATTTTCAATCTGCCCAGATGATGTGATAATGTGATGATTTTCAATCTGCCCAGATGATGGAATAATGTGATGATTTTCACTCTCCCCAGATGATGGGATAATGTGATGATTTTCAATCTGCCCAGATGATAATGTGATGATTTTCAATGATGATGATTTTCAATCTGCCCAGATGATGGAATAATGTGATGATTTTCAATCTGCCCAGATGATGGGATAATGATTTTCAATCTGCCCAGATGATGGGATAATGATGATTTTCACTCTCCACAGATGATGGGATAATGTGATGATTTTCAATCTGCCCAGATGATGGGATAATGTGATGATTTTCAATCTGCCCAGATGATGGAATAATGTGATTTTCAATTGCCCAGATGATGGAATAATGATGATTTTTTCAATCTGCCCAGATGATGGATAATGTGATGATTTTCAATCTGCCCAGATGATGGAATAATTGATGATTTTTCAATCTGCCCAGATGATGGAATAATGTGATGATTTTCAATCTCCCCATGATTTTCAATCTCCCCAGATGATGGGATAATGTGATGATTTTCAATCAGATGATAATGTGATGGATAATGTGATGATTTTCAATCTGCCCAGATGATGGATAATGTGATGATTTTCAATCTGCCCAGATGATGGGATAATGTGATGATTTTCAATCTGCCCAGATGATGGGATAATGTGATGATTTTCAATCTGCCCAGATGATGGATAATGTGATGATTTTCAATCTGCCCAGATGATGGAATAATGTGATGATTTTCAATCTGCCCAGATGATGGATGATTTTTCATCTGCCCAGATGATGGGATAATGTGATGATTTTCAATCTGCCCAGATGATGGATAATGTGATGATTTTCACTCTGCCCAGATGATGGGATAATGTGATGATTTTCAATCTGCCCAGATGATGGATAATGATGATTTTCAATCTGCCCAGATGATGAATGATAATGATGATGATTTTCAATCTGCCCAGATGATGGAATAATGATGATTTTCAATCTCCCCATGATGATGGATGGGATAATGTGATGATTTTCAATCTGCCCAGATGATGGGATAATGTGATGATTTTCAATCTGCCCAGATGATGGGATAATGTGATGATTTTCATGATTTTCAATCCCCAGATGATGGGATAATGTGATGATTTTCAATCTGCCCAGATGATGGATAATGATGATTTTCAATCTGCCCAGATGATGGATAATGTGATGATTTTCAATCTGCCCAGATGATGGGATAATGTGATGATTTTCACTTCCCAGATGATGGGATAATGATGATTTTCAATCTGCCCAGATGATGGATAATGTGATGATTTTCAATCCCCAGATGATGGGATAATGTGATGATTTTCAATCTGCCCAGATGATGGGATAATGTGATGATTTTCAATCTGCCCAGATGATGGGATGATTTTCAATGTGAGATTTTAATGTGATGATTTTCCCAGATGATGGATAATGTGATGATTTTCAATGATGATTTTCAATCTGCCCAGATGATGGAATAATGTGATGATTTTCAATCTGCCCAGATGATGGGATAATGTGATGATTTTCAATCTGCCCAGATGATGGGATAATGTGATGATTTTCAATCTGCCCAGATGATGGGATAATGATGATTTTCAATCTGCCCAGATGATAAATGATGATTTTCAATCTGAGATGATTAATTTTTCAATCTGCCCAGATGATGGATAATGTGATGATTTTCAATCTGCCCAGATGATGGGATAATGTGACATTTTCATATGATGTGATAATGTGATGATTTTCAATTTGATGATGGGATAATGTGATGATTTTCAATCTGCCCAGATGATGGGATAATGTGATGATTTTCAGATCTGCCCAGATGATGCAAAATTAAAAATTAAAAAATGATGTCGAATATTGACATTTTATGGGATAATTGATGATTTTCAATCATTCTTCAGAAATGGAATAAAAATAGCTTTTCTTTTTGATCTTTTTCAATGTTTAAGACTAAACCAGATGAAATGGAAAAATTTTAATGTCTTAGATGAAATAATGGATTATTTTCAATCTGAGGTGGGATGATTTTCTTGACCAGATGATGGGAGAATGATGGAATAATGTGAAATCTTGATAAAGTCTTAGGAGAAAGTCTTTAAATCTTTAATGTCCATTACACCACCTGCCCATGATGGAAAATTACAGCACAGGATTTAATGTGAAGATTTTCAAGATGGAAAATGTGATGATTTTCAATCTCCAGATGATGGGATAATGTGATGATTTTCAATGAATGATGGGATAATGAGATTTTCAATCGAATGATGGGATGATGTGATATTTTCAATCTGCCCAGATGAAAATGTGATGATTTTCATTGCCCAGATGATGAATAATGTGATGATTTTCAAAGATGATGGAATAATGTGATGATTTTCAATCTGCCCAGATGATGTGATAATGTGATGATTTTCGCCATGATGTGATAATGTGATCCTGATGATGTGATAATGAACACAGGTGATTATATGTTAATTTTGGTTATATATTTGATTTGATTTAGAAAATCAGTCGAATTTGACATTTTTTATGGTCTTATCCAAACATTCTTCAGCTAAGTCCTTTTTGAATTTTTCAATGAATATCCTTAAGAAAGTCTTACATTAATGTCTTAGAAAAGGCTTATCATATTTCCAATGCCTTTTAAAGTCTTAGGAGAATAAATCTTTTAAACCATTACAACCTGCACATAAACAATTTATTGAGGAAAATTTCATAGTTCCCAGATTTCTGAATGGCATTTCCATTGCTTGTTTATTAGAGGATTTAAGCATTGAAAATGAAAAGTTGAAAGACTTTGGCCACCTTGACATCCTGAATGAACACAGGACATAAAAGATTTGATTTGATTTAGAATATCTTCAATTTGCTCCTCCATCATCAGCTGAGTCCTGAATATGAATATCCAAAGTTACATTAAGAGTTTTTTCATATTTCCAATGCCATTTATTGTAATACCGACAACTTAGCAATATTGCTTTTGATCTTTCAGTTTTCTATTTCCATCTTGTTTTATTCACATTTAAGCATTGAAAGACCTGGCCACTGCACAGAGAGAATCTTCATAAGCTTGAGGTCTTCGATCACTACTGCCTGGAAGAAACTCTCCAACTGATCTTAGGCCCAGATGCAACATTCTGGGCCTGGAAGAAACTCTGCTTAACAGAAGACTCCAGTGGTTCGGCCACATGCTGCGGCAGGCTGGTGATGAGTTCATCCGTAAACTGGTGGTGCCAAACGCACCCACTGGTTGGAGGAAGCGCCAAGGTGGTCAACTGAAGACGTGGCTCACAACAGTCAAAGCAGATATGGAACTCATGTCCAGTCTTCATGTTTTTGGGCTCCAACGCTGGAATCGCGAATGGCTCGATCATGCTGTTGATTCTGCTGCCTTGACGCGTGATGCAGTTAATTCAATTGGAGCCAGCTCAACCCACCCCGGGTGAATGCCGTTACAAGACAAGACAAGAAGATTGAAAGGAATTGTGAAAATGATGCATCAGACAACACCTTGCTACCTTCAAAATTACACCTTGGACAGAAAGAGGATTGGAGTTTAGAGCAATATATAAATTTGGTCCCTCATCTTTTCTAACCAATCAAAAACGAAATACACTTATAGAAGAACACTGGAAAAAGCATAAATAGTTGGCTTCTCATTTCAACCCTGAGTGAAGACACTTAAAATGATTTACTCAATTTTGCATTTTATGTTTCTAAACTTCTATTAAAATCCAACTCAAAACTTGCCATCTGATCAGCTTTTGGATTTGTGTGCAAAAAGTGGAATTGGCATGCCAAGTTCAAAGAGGATAAATAGCAGGGAAGACTGGACTATCTAGCCTTGCTTGGCCAACCAGTCTAGGAGAAGGACAACTTTGAATTCAAAACTTAACCACCTGATGCTCTGCAAAGATGGTTAGAGATGGGGTGCAGATACAATACTGGTAAAATGAAAACTTGATAGACTTCAGCAGTTTGCACTATTTAAGTCTATAAAAAGGTAAGTATAATTTTTCACTTTCTCTTTTTAACTCTTGCTTCCAGATATAGTCAAACATAGATAAAGAACATTCACTTTCCTGGTCCTCTCTTGACTGAAATCTTGCACACATGCACATACACATATGTGCATCATGCATGCTTATTTCACACAGACACAAACAATCACATTCTTATATTTAGTCTTAATGTCTTTGATTTCCATTGTGTACACCTGTAATTACTTTTGTTAATAACATGCATTAATTGCCATTTGTTTTAAATTCATTGTTTCATATCTATTATTTTTACCTGAACTGACATGAATCCACCAATATTGCTTGGGAGATAAATGTTCCAAGAACCCATAAATATTTACTATATAATGTATACACACACACATATACAAAGTATTGATTTCCACAATAAAGTGGTAACTTATTTTTATCTAAACATCATAGAATCCCACAGCAAAGCTTACAGCATCTGGTATTCTCAAGCAGTCACCTGTCCAGGTACTGACCAGGCTCAAGATTGCTTAACTGGTGATCATACAGGAACTGGTGTTTCAATGTGATATCACTATAAGCCCCCATGGTGTCAACAACATTTTGAATAATCACACTCCAGTCAGTTTATCCATATCTATCTATCTATCTATCTATACGTGCATACATAAAAAGAGTTAGGGAGAAAGAAGAGGAAAAAGATAGCAAGTGGGGTATTTTATTGAATAGGGCAAAAAACAGTTCCTAATAGTAGCAATTATCTCCTTACCAATTTGAAAATCTCTTTGAAGGTCAAAAGATATAACCAGGGTACAGGAGTTTTCCTAAATGTCATGTACCTCCATCTTTATTTGCAAAAGCCCTCACCAGGAAAAAATAAACATTTAAGCTTTTCCCTACTAAAAGTTACAAAAACTCAAAACATTTTAAGAATGAACTTTTTACCATATAAGATGAATATATATTTAAAAAAAATTCTCACTGAAAATTCTAATGGAGACAAAAGTGGTCAATCTTTTAAAAATTTGCAATTAGAGTTATAACTATTAGAAAGCTGTTCAAAATTATGAGAGGATTATCACATTCATTTGTTTGAAAGAGAAGTCATTTTTTTTATATGACAACTAAGATTGCATCCAAGTGCTGAGATCTATGTATTTACCAATTTGAATTTTTATATGCATTAAAAAATCTATAAACTTTATTGATGCACTTGAACACCTATGGAAGACCATAACAATATCTCTAAATCAAAATCACGACAATAAAAAGAAAGAGTTATAAAATACAACTTTGCTACTTCAAATGCAATTGATTTTGTATATTATGCCAGTCAAAAAAATAAAAAAAGTATTTTTAATTATTTTATTATAACAGAATTAATAGTAGATCCACTACACATACTAAAATAAACAGAAAAAGTTTCAAAATTGCATATCTAGTTCCCAGCAAAATCTCCTCCTTTCTAAATCATGGTATGAAGATTGATCAAAAAGTAAAGCCTGTTCTTCTTTAATTACTATAGATCTAATACTAAATGCAATCCTGGGTATGATGATAAACTACATCCTGTAACAAGAAATCTGATTTGGAGATTGGAGGCTTTGAGGAGCCTGGAACCACCTCTTATAGCTGTTGTTGCCAGGTCCACCCTAACTTGCAATGCTAGCAGCTGTTATGGTCCCAGCAATAGGCAAATCATGAACTCCTATATGAAAACAAAATACTATAAAAGTATAAAAATACATTATTATAGTAAAATTGCAATCAATACATTTTTGTATAAAGTTTTCCAACAATAAGTCTTTATGGTAAAATTAAAGCAAACTGACCAGCAATATATTTTATAGTAGAATGACCAACAATACATTTTCTGTAGTTGAAGGCATAAAATTACACTTAAAATATTTAAATTTTATCATTAAATAACCCATAGAGGTTGATATGGTGCTGTAGTGCCTTGAAACATAGTAGCAGTAGTGGCTCTAAATAAACCTTGTATCAACAGCAGCTATCAGTATAAATACATGTGAATCCTAAAGTAACTCTCTCTCTTCTGGGTCTTCCTCTTTTGAACTCAGTGATATGAACTTTCCATGCTGAAGCTAAAAGGGCTGTGAATGCTTCACACTAAAACACACCAATACAGTAAGTCCCACTGCAGTGTGACTCAAAAGTGTTTGCACCTATAACATTTCTAGAATATACAAATTTAAACAATTGTAATGGCTTGTGTAAACATTAGAATAAATATATTTAATTTAAAATGACATGTCCAACGTGGCATAAAGGTTTAATTAACAAAAATGTCCATATTATTATTTATTTAAAGATTTCTGTATATTTCAGGTAAATCAAAAGTGTTTGCAGAAATCATAAATTTTAAAACAATGGCTCGTGGGAAGATGCTTACTGTTGAAAAAGCCAAATTATCAAAATTACTCTCAAAATGATAAAACGACACTGGAAATAGCAAAAATAATTAAACGAGATCATCACACAATGAAGCAATATGTCAATGATGATAAAGTTGAGTGCAAGAAGCACAAGGGTGGTCGCCCACATGCAGTTAACCAGAGAGATTTAAGAAAAATTAAAAGACCACTAAAACAGAACTCACACAGCACAAAGAGATTTTTAAACAAACTAGTATTGAAGAAGTATCGATAGCAACACAAAATCGCATCCTCCATAGTATGGAAAAACAACGTTCTCCAATTTCATGCCCTCCATTAAGCAAAATGAATCACCTGAAGAGGTTAGGATGGGCAAACAATTACTTAAAAATTGATTTCCAAAGATTACTTTGGACAGATGAAGCCCGAGCTACATTAGATAGCCCCGATGGTTGGAAAAGAGGTTGGCTCATTCATGGTGGAACTCCTCACTTGCATTTTAAATGCTAACAAGGCAGTGCTGGAGTTATGTTCTGGGCTGGAATTTGTGGCTCAACATTAATTGGACCATTTCTTGTGCCAGAGGGACTCAAACTGAATTCTGTTAATTATTGCCAATTTTTAAAAGAAAATTTCATACCCTGGTTGAATTCACAAAATGATGAGTTCCGTAGTAATCTTATTTATCAGCAAGATAATGCTCCCAGTCATGTGGTGTGCTTCACCAAAGAGTGGTTGGCAAATCAAGGTTTTACAGGGGACAAGATTATGGTATAGCCATCACAAAGTCCCAATTTAAACCCTATTGAGAACCTTTAGGCCATAGTAAAGCATCGAGTTTATGAAAGTGGCCACCAATTTTCTTACAAGGATCACTTTTTTGGATATTTGTTCTAAAATTACAGCCAGCAAATTTAGGAAACTCACTTCATCAGTCGATAAACGACTTATTGAGCTTCTTAAGAATAATGGTAAAAAATAAAATATTAATGTGCTCCTTGTGTTTTCATACATTGACATCTATACAACATCATACCAACTTATATTGGTATGTAATACATAATAGACCTTTTCATTATTTTGTACAATTGATTTAAACAGGACCAATTTTTTGCATTAAAATTAATGTTTGCAAAAACTTTTTAGTCGGTATTATTTCCTTAATTAATAAAAAAATCACGAATAAAGCTAATTTTCTTAATTTATTCTAAAGTAAAGTAGTAAAGCTAATTTTTGTAGTAGAAAAGAATTAAAATATTCAACTTTTGTCCATAAAAGCATATTTTATTAGAGAAAATGCAAAATATCAGAATTTACAAACTCTTTTGAGTTGCACTGTATAACATATTCATGAACATTTTGTTGTGTATGCAATTTACTTCTAACAAAAGAAACTCTTGGTTTGAACTTTCCTTTTTGTTAATTCTCTTTAATAAATGTTACCTTGCATTGCAAATCAATTGGTCAGTTATTTTGTGCATGTACTCTTTTTCACCACCATTATTTCATGTACTGCAAAATATTCACATAAGAAACTTTACATATTTTATTACTGAAGTAGCTAATTACTAAACTGCAAAACAAAATCAATCAGTCAATAAAATAAAGGATACAAAAATAAACAGAAAGTATCAGGATTGCATATCTAGTCCTTAGTAAATTTCTAAATAGTGGCATAGAGGTTGTTCAAAATATAATGCTTATTTTCTATAAAATATATCCAGTATGATGCCCATTTCTGCAATATTTGACTATGGTAGGCCTACTCAAATTACTCAGAAGCTGTGGTCCCATTATACATGAGCTCAAGTAGGCTTGTACATAAGTACATACGATAACCATGCCATCAATTATGGCATGAGGATCAGTCAAAAAGTAATAACTGTTCTTCTTTAATTACATTAGTTTCAATGGTAGAATATGCACACAAAGTATACCAAAATGAACAAGGACATACATACCTACTTCAATAGAAACTACATGACTGATTCCTTTACCTTATTCATTCATGTGGTGCCACTATCTTTGGCTTTATTCACATTTACAGCAGCAGCTGGCCTGTCACTAAGCTTAGTTGCTTCTGTCTATCTCAGATTTCTGTTAACCCTACTGACACATTTTTTTACTGTGTTTACATCAATGCAGCCTTTCAATAAATATTCATTGACCTTCTGCGAATGTTTTCAAAAGTTTCTCCCTCCAAAAAAAGAAATTCTATGATAGCTGTAAATTTGAAAAGTTAATGCTTTCAAATAGAGATGAATATTGCAGAAAGGCTTGTTTCACATAACTTAATATTTTTCCAAAGAAAAATGATCAGGTATTATTTTTTGAAAAGACAATGCCTCTGCCCACACTGCAATGACCACCAAAAGTCAACTTCAGAACAAATCCGTCAAGCCTAGTCAGATTTCAGATTCAAATCCTAGTACTAGGTATCAAAATGTCCTTGCTATTTTTGATTTATTAGAAGAACAAGGTATACTTCAAATTTGACATACCATTAAGTGGTTGGCACAGTTTCTCTCAGTCAAATTGCTGTCTGGTATCCCTGGTTACCCACACTACATGATGCCTGGCATTGCCATGGAAGAACAATACACCTTTATGATTAAACAATGCTGGCTCCTTCTGCTTCAGTGCCTGTTCCAGCTGCTGCATGTACATATTTGCAGTGATGGTTTGGCCCATTGGTAGCAGCTCATAATGCACCACTTGTTGACTAGCCCACTGGATACAGAGTGTGAACATGTGTGGATATAGAGGTGGTCTTGTGGTGTGAGTCACAAGGTCCTGTGGTAACAACCAATGTCTGGCACATTTGGAAGTATCATACAGGACCCACGTTTAATCACTGATGAGCAAATATGGGTACATTGCAATAGTGAGAAAGCAACAAGAAACAGGCTGTCACTAGTTGTTGCTTGTTGGCTTCCAACAATATGTGGGGTACCCACTTGCTCAACTTATATGACTTCTCTATACAGTGCAGGTCTGACTGTTTCATTAGAAACCTGGATGATTTGGCCATTGTTCTTCTCTCTGGCTACCTTCAGGGCCTTATCCAGGACCTGTAACTAGCCATAGCAAGGTTCATCAAAAAGCGATTGACCTGATCTTCTAGAAGAGGCAGCTGTGGAAAAGCCCACCTTAAAGTCATAAAGCAGACAACAACAA